GACTCTGGAGAGAAAAAGAGCTGTTCGGAGAGCGGCTAAGATATTTATATACATATACAATTAAATACAGTTCATTATATACAATAGTTAGCGTATGTATATACAGTCTGTCTTGTGTATTGTTATATGTGTATGTTGTAATTGGTTAATAATGTTGTAGTATTTGTTTGTCTTGCGTGTTGTTCGGCCAGCTAACGTGAAACACCTAAATGCAACGTCACCTTGGTTTGTGGAGGAGCCTCATTTGTCGGGAGTCGAGGAATGACCACATCCCCCCACACAGATTGAGAGCAACCACTCCCGGTTGAGATCTCAACAAAAATCTGGCAAACAAATCCCACATGCATGGTTTTTCAGACAGAGCGACCAAACTTGATATCCCAGTTTGAGGTCACAGTGCCAGCCCGGTAAAAGGTCACAAACAGGGACGGAAAAGGACAGTCACTTTCAAGAACGTGGCAATTTGCCAGTATAAACATGAATTGGGAGTGTCCTATTACCTGCAACAGTCAGTACACAACTATCACTATTTTAGAGAAAGGCCTTTACCAACCATCCTCATCCACTGTTAGTGGCATTACTGGCAATAGGATGGACCCAATATACATATATATATATATATACACATGACTCCCTTCGACTCGAATTGGTGGTCATCCTGGGTTGTGTCAATCCCAGTCTCGCCCCTTTTCTCCGAACCAGTCTGACAGGAGATGGTCCAACGCTGGAAGCTGGACTGGCCAGACCTTGTCAGCAAATCCTGAGTGGAAGATATCACGAAAGCTAGCGAAGCTAGCTGGAGTTACTCTTGCGATAGCAAGGTTTCTTTCGACCGGGTGCAAATCCTAACCCCTGATTTTTCAGGTCGAAGACCCCCCCCCCCCTCTCCCCACCTCCCCTCTCCCCACCTCCCCCCCTCTCCTCCTCCTTGTCTTCCTCCCATCTTCCCTCCCTCCCTCCTCCCTCCTCCCTCTTCGCAAGTTCGACTCCGTCCTGTCGTCTGTCGTCGCTCTTTGGCATGCGGTTAGCGTTGCGTATCTTGCGGCCGCACTCGCTCACTCTCACTCTCACTCTCTCACTGTCTCACTGTCTCTCTCATCTCTCTCATCTCTCTCATCTCTTTCTCATCTCTCTCATCTCTCTCTCCTCTCTCTCTCTCTCTCTCCTCTCTGTCTCTCGTCTTTCCGTCTCTCTTCTCTCTCTTCTCTCGCAGGAGGAAGGATCCGGGCAAAGAGCCACATATAAAGGACTCTTCACCCCTGCCTCCAAAAAGAGCGCCGTGTTTTTTCCTACCTCGCTGCCCTCCACTTTCCCATTCTGGAGCGCTAGCTTTCGCCCCCCCCTTGGCCTCAAGTCTATTCTTTGCCATTCCTCCATTCAGATGGTCTCCTCTTGCAAATTGGCGCGTCATATGTTCGAGGATTTACAACACCCTGACCCTAAACCCTGCCCAAACCCGTTGGAACTTCCCCATCCAGCGGTCCCAGGAGACGGAGGCGCGGCATCAGCAGGCTGAACGACTCCATCAAGAGGCCGAACGACGGAGACGTCGGGCGTGTTCCAAAAAGCATCGACAGTGAGACACATGGGTAGACACTGACAGGCCTTGATTGTTGGCTGACATGTAGACCATAGGAACAATCAAGGGGTATGATTTCTGGACATGTTTCCGGTCTATGTGTTTCGTCGGTCTCGGCGCGGGCGTTGAAAGAAGGTATCACGGGACGGAGGTGTTTGACCTGCCTACAATATATACCTATTTCTGAGTATAGTACACCATAAACCTAACCTATATATAAACCTTTGGTTTCTTTATCACACAAGGGCAGGATGATGACCAAGATGGCCGTGAGTCAAACCTTTGCCACCAAACCATGGTTTCGTTTGACATCCCTTATAGAGGAAACTGATCATTTTGAGTGATCAACCAGTCCCCCTGTGTTGACCCACACATAAGATCACATAAGTACGCGCACTTTGAGGTATGGGTCCCTCATTCCCATACTGATATTCTTCTTTGTGTTGCAAGGGCCACATGAGCATCCCGGACTCGAATCAAAGTGTTTACACATGTTTGCACCTTTCATCACCTGTACCAGAGCTGGAGGTTAGAAGTTCCCGCACTTGAACATTAAATGTGATGAAAACTGGTCTCGGACTGACGCTCGAGTCTACCGCTTCTTAGTGTGGCGGACTCTTGGACTGTTGTA